GTTGAGTGATTTTCCAATAGATACACATGAATCCACTGGGAGGAAGTTGTACCTCCCAAGATAAAACTTGATAAGTAACAGTATGTTGTAAATGGTTTTTGTGCAGTTTTAGATGAAATCATGACAATATTTTTCTTCACACACATACAAACAGGAATTCTGAAAAAATGGAGATTTTGCCCCCTGGGCTGGGGGCATTGGGGCTGTTTGCCTGCTGCGCGTCACTCACTCTGGGAAAGAGCCTCCGACTGCTCCTGCCCTCCCACAGTCTCCAGCTCCATCCCCTCGGGAGACACATCGGCTCCACCATGCTCTGCGGAATACAGATATTCACAGGCCTTTCAGCTTTTACATTGCAGCTGCCTCCTTCTCTAAATCTCACCAGCTGGCCCTGAAAGTGAGCTTTAAAGGAGCCACAGACCTTATCGCCTTTCCACAACTCCAGCCTGAAGTCAAGACACGCACTAGTGCAAATTTGTCAAAAACAAGAAAATCTTGAGACTTGCCTTCAAAGAGTCTGATTTTATGTGGGCAGGGGGAGAGAAGGCCATACATTTCAATGTGAGAAGAAAGTGCTTTTTAAATAACTAAGCCTACCTGCAGTTTCTCCAAGGTTAACCTGTAAAACGCTCAAGGCTTGGTCTAATCTCTTTCCAGCCTCCTCCTTCAATTCAGCTACTGCGTCCAGCACAGCTGCCATGCGGACTTCGTCCGGAGACACGTCCCCCTCCTCGCGAGACAGGCAGCCGTCCGTGTCCACCTGCGGGATGTCAGCCTGCGGGGAGGAGGGGAACAGATCAGAACACTGTGCTGCACCTTCTGAAGGCCGGAGTCCCCAGAGGAGACAAACAGGCCTTCCCTGCCCACAGCACGACTCACAGCAACAGCAAGAACTCGCACCTCCACCCCCCTGTCCACTGGCCCACGCAATTTAACCTTTCAGCTGACAGCGGGCAGAGTAATGGTTGTACAAAGTCACTGCCAGTCACTAGGCAGGAAGAGCCCAGGTTGAATGTCCATGATGTACACCTTTCTGTTCAGCAATGACCCTTACAGAAAGACAGATCAATCACACCTGTATCACTGCAGAGCAGCTCCCGGTGTCCACCTGCTCCATCTGCGATCTGGCGTTCTTCAGCCAGCCCAGTCTCTGCTCCAGGAGGGCTACAGCGCTGCCTATCCTCCACTCAGCTGCCTTCTGTCTGGCGTTTAAGACATTCATGGCCTCGCGCTCTCCCGCCTCGATGGCCCTCTTCAATTCACCGAACCCCCTGCAGAGGGCGTCCTTCATGCCTGAGGCAGAGTCCTACAAAACACCAGGCTTAAAAACAGCTTCTATCCCACTGCAGTGCACATCCTCAACAGCTGACTGCAGGGCCTCAGATTCAACACACATCTGCACTTTCTGCATGTTTTTTTCACTACTACATGTTTACTGTTCTCCACAACACATTTTTTTCTGTTAATATTCACTATGTGTTTGATGTCTACGTTGTGTGGTGTTGTCTGCTGCACTGTCTATGTCCCGAGAGTTCAGCGCGAATAAGAAATGTGATGTACATATGGCAATAAACTCCTCTACTTATAGTGTATGTCTAATACTAGCAGTTGTGCAAACCATTAACGATGACTTTCAAGAAAACATCGAAATACATTGCAAACACAATTAATATCGCTGAAAGAGAGAAATAAAATAAAGACCACACTGCAGGAGAGGCCAAAGAAAGAGAACAGACTTACTGAGATCTCCTTCCGGCTCTTAACTCTTTCAGAAAGAATCTCCTCCACTTGTTCAATTTCTGATGTCACAGTCTCCAGGCTTCTCTGCAGACAGGCCTGGAAAACACACACTTGACAATGAATGAAGGACCATAAGATAAGATCACTTTATTGGCCAAATTCAATTTCTTGCAATAGGAATTTGTCTTTTCGCAAACCCCAGCTTGCTCTCCATGAGACACACAGACACACAGACAGGGACATAAGCCTGGGGTCAGAGCGCAGGGTCAGTCATTTATACAGCACCCCTGGAGCAGCTGGGGTGAAGGGCCTTGCTCAGGGGCCCAACGGAGTAGGATTCCTCTGCCGGCCACGGGAAACGAACCGGCAACCTTCCAGCCACAGGCGCAGATCCTGAGCCCCAGAGCCACCGCCCTGCCCTCAATAAGGAACATCAGGAAGGGTGACTAATGAGAGGAGCAGTCCGGCCCGTCTGGCCCGTTTGGTAATTAGTAGCTGACTGGTGCCAGGAACAAAGCCAGGGTATCAGCTTCAAACACATGGCTGGGGAGCTAGTTCCACACTCCCACCACTCTTCAGGTAAAGAAGTGCCTCCTGTTCTCAGATTTTAATGCTCTTCCGCAGGGTTTGCACTTGTGTCTCTGGTCTGTGTTTCACTGTTGATCCCCAGGATGTCCCCTTCGATAAACTTCGTCTATCTGTGCCTTTAAGGATTTTGAATACTTGAATGAGGCGCTTGAGAAAATCATACTATCAGCCAGATAGGCTGGCGGAAAGGCGCGCATACACAACAGTCTGACCCCGGGCTTTCGCGGTTGTGAAGCTCCTGGGATTTTTGATCCAGTCAAATAGGTGCAGCAGCAGAATGCAGTAATAATTTAACTTGTTAACATGGCGAGGCTGAAGTTCAATACACGTAATAAGTAATTGAATACTGCGTTTTAACTTCGATGCACGTTTCCTGCTGCTCAAATGTACAACTGACTATATTAAAGAGTAAAAACAAGTGTCTAAGAGGACCTTGCACTTGCCTTCTTGCGCTCAAACTCTTCCTCGATGCTCCCCAGCGCGCAGTCCGGGTGCTGCGGCCGGCACAGGGCGCACAGCAGCGTGCCGTGCCCCGGGCACAGGTACTCGCACGGCCGGCGGTGCAGCGCGCAGGATTCGCCCAGCCGGGGCGCACTGCTGCCGGACTCTCGGGGCTGACAGGTCGGGCAGCCATCAGAGCCGCCGCTGCCGCAGGCCGGACACTGGCCATCCGGGTCGCTATCCCTCGGAGACGCGGACGAATCGCGCTTTTCGGGACTGCGCCTCTTAAGAGTTTCGACGATACGGTAGATGGCTACGTTCTTCGTGAGCTTGTGATCGGGCCGAAACGTATCTTTGCAGACAGGGCAGCCGAATTTCTCCTTCGTGTACGGGACGGTGTAGTACTTGACAATGCACTCCATACAGTAGTTGTGGCTACCGCAGGTGGCTGTGACGGGATCTCTGAGCATTTCGTAACAGATCAGGCACTGTAATTCGGCAGTTAAATCGTCGTAGGTGCTCTCATGCGATGCCATGGCGGCTCACAAACAGAGGACTGTCAGTGGGGAAACCGAAACTTCTGCTCAAGGCAGCAGACTACTGTTCTAACCCTGCACTCTCGAAAACACAGGAAATATTCGCAACCATGATTAAAACTACATATCCCATCAGGCCACGCTGGACAAAATATTTTTTTATTGGCTGCTGGGAACTGTAGTTTAACTAGAAGGAAAGCTTTGCTTGGCAGCTCTCTTTTTCAACGTGAACACAAGAGGGCACCGTTACAATATTAATGATATGTGTCAACTTGAAATTCACCTTAAACCGTTTCTGGGTTCCAAACAGACACAGCACTGATATTAAAGTGAAAATCAGAGTCTGGTTTATGATTTTATCCAGTATCTGTGGATGAGCACTTGAATGTGAACAATTAACTAGCGTCTGTGACCTGCACAGGGTCAGTGTGTCCGCAGGGGGTCCAGTCCTGGTCCTGCAGGGTCAGTGTGTCTGCAGGGGGTCCAGTCCTGGTCCTGCAGGGTCCCTGTTTCTAGGCTGAAGTTTGTTGTATCAACATATTTCTTGTTGTATAGATATACAATGTGTGCATATATCTCAGATTGTATTTTAAATAGGCTTCAGTACATCTGCTTTTACTCTGGAATAAGATAAGATATTTATTGTCCCCTGAGGGAATTTTTTTATGGAGACACAGCACTCCTGTACATTTAAATAGATTGCAAACAAAACAAAAAGAAGAAAAGAAAATCATTGATACATATTCTCATCACTTAATTGGAAATGTAGGTGGAAACAATAAGATTTATTTTTTTTAATTCAAGAGAGCATTTCATAGTACTGAAATCAGCGATAAACTGATCTGTGTTCCTCTTCTCAGACTACGGCTGCCATCGTGCTGAGGGCTCCCGCTCCAGCAGAGGACACGGGTGTGTCCGGACAACCCTGACCGCCTGCTGCCAGCTGTGAGTTCACACCCTCACACCCTCACACACAGAGGCACAGAGACGGGCGTCCTGTCGGTTTCCTTCACAGGACCCACAAAGCCCTCGG